ATTGTATTTTTAACCAATCGATGAATCGATTTCTCTCAAGAGCTGTTTAATGCTGGATCCAATAAATATTTAAAACTATAAACAGAAGATTGATACTACTCAAAAATGACTATCTTCTAATCCTCACACAGATGATAGAAGTTGAATTTGAACTGCAAAACGATAGGATGCAAATACATGTATGAGTTGTTCTCAGGACATTCATTTTCCTCGCCAGGTAGGTGTAACATAATCTTGCCTGAAATACCAGTCGAAATATCGACCAAACGAGATCCAATAATGCATGACCTGTAATGTTCGGGATTCCTCTACCCTAACCGTTTCCTCTAAAATCTATTCTGCATGTCCAAAAGGACATATCTCATCCGAGGTATGTGTCAAAACCCAGGCTCATCAATTAGATACTTCGTTCTCCACCCACACTTCACTGGGGATGTTGACTGTACACCAACAATGTCTGACTCCAGTTGGAAATCCGTCTTCGACGGAAATGCAGTCAGGAGAGAATGGAAAGCTGGAATGAGCTAATCCATGCCGACTGACAGTTGTCAACTCTCCAAACTGAATGTGGGGTAAACAGTCCACCCTGCGGGGTGCGACGGGGGGGGGAGTTGTCTATTCTACCGGAATTTGCAGATGGCACATGCGAGTCAACCGTTGTTCAACTGATTTGTAGGTAAAACCCGGAACATGGTTTAATAGAAAGACAGTGTAATTTATGATGCTCGAGACTGCTTGTCGCTTGTTTCGACTGTCAGCGACCGTTCTGGCTTAACTCCTAGATTAAATCATTCCGTAAAACTCCATGTTGATAATTGTATTGAAGCCGAACAGCTCTGAGATTTCAATGAACTACTATCTTCACACACACACACACACACAAACACATTTTATACCTCCAACCAGGCTTTTGATAGTCGAATGTCACAAATGCTAAACCCTCAACTCAGCAATTACATTAGCCTTGGAGAGTAAGCAGCATTGATTTCTATGAAAATGGCATATGTTCAAGAAAATAAGGGAAGCCCCACTGGATCAATAACTATCTGAAGGACAGAGAAGGGTCAGAAATGTTTGATGTTATTTGATTGAAACCACGCTACTACTAGCACAAGAACTGTCTGATTTGGATACATAAGTTCGGAATACTCATCCATCCTGAAAAAAAGATTAAAAAAGCGCTTCAATCAGGGCCCTCATTTCGTTGCCCAAAGCCTGTTACAGATAATTCAAAAATTGGGCTGAAATTTGGTCCGGCTAGAAAGCAACATTTTGCATCTATATGAGTAGTTAAGCAAAAAACCAATCAGCCAAAATTTCAAAGGAGCGATCCTGATTTATTATAGAACCGTAAATTGTATTCTAAATATATAGCCTCGCTAATCGCCCTCTTCTAGAATGTGAGTAACTATCGGGTCATATGATAAAATCTTCGTTACCAAGATCCTTATTCGCAAAATGTGGATACAATCAAATGAATAGCATTGAATTAAACTTAATCGGGTAAAGTACTACGTTAAAGACTGAATAAAACAAATCGTGCATAGATTTACGAAAATGAACAAATACCGAGAAAACACGAGTCACTGATTCACTTGCAAACTGGATCGAGTTTCAAAAAGTGGATATGTATACCTCATTCGGCTGTTGGGCTCCTTCACTTAAATGATGTGCTATTCGCACATGATAGACAAATTGGATGCCATGATAGCGGTGATAGTGTACTACACATAAAACCATGTGTTTGTGCATTCGTGACACGGTTCCAGCCATCAGCTCGGAAAAAATTGTTAACCCGATCGTGTTGGTTACAAAGGAAAAACTTCGCGATGTACCACTTTTACGGATGGTCTTGGTAAGTGACTGTTCCGCAATACCCAAAACCCGATCTTTCAGTGACAAATGTTTGGACATGGCTGTGAACAGGGACAAGTGTGAGCCCATCTCTTCCCACAGAATTTCTGAAGAATGCTCACAAACATGGCAGAGAAACCATGTTATCTTCAGTTGTCTTCAGAACTGACTCCTAAAGCGAGGCTTCATGGTTCGAGTCCCACCCAGGATAGAGAGATGGTGTGTACTGCACATTCGCCCCAGCAAAGTCAAAACAGCTCTCCCAAGATTCCTGCTGATCTTCACACATCAAATTTTATCATAATTCGTTGCTTACTATTTGGCATCTTCTTTAATAGCACAGGGAACCGAAAGACTTCAAATAGATTATATTCTACTGACAATAATAACACATTCTATAAGCGTTTCGTCGTGCGCAAAGGAAACGAAGTGTGAACTGAACATATTGCTTCCAGGCGAGAGATCAATGCTGAGAAGAGCGGGTTATGATTCCCGGAACAAGCTCTCAAGTATGGATTTGCTATATCTTACATAGGTAAGATGGTTTAATCTAGTGCACAGTAATCAAGTGGGTACTATACTTGCATTCCCCCAATGAGATAATGGAATCAGCTGGGTCCATGTTTTCACACTGCCGTTATAAAATTCTTCCTCATCGTTTAGTTCACATTTTATTTCATCTGTACAAGATGAACCTTGTGTATAATCGAAGCAAATTTTCCACAATGTTCATGACAAGCCGAGTTCCGCAAAGGGCAATCGTAGATGCTATTCCATATAGCTGAAAAATCACGAGTGCAGATCATACAAGCCGGTTCATGTGAAAATGAAACTTCGGACCTCTCGCATAGAAGGTGCGGGCGAGGAAGTTCACATCCGAATTAATCGAAGACACCGACTGATGGTTTTTGAGAAATTCCTGGTCATTCAAAATTTTGAATGCCTCTCATCTAATCTCTTCCTTCATGTCAGTTTGAGGGTTTCCTCGGTAGTTATTTCGTTTTATTCGTGCGAAATATGTGCCTGCTTCAATAGCATCAATCCAGCAAACTCTTTTTTCTACAATCCTTTCATTTAGCTTGATTCACTCCGTTTAAGCTAGAGTAAACAGTTTGGAAAATGAGAGAGGACCCAAGCTCATAAGTAAGGCTCTCCGATCCTCGAAAATCAGGGTAACGAATGAATTCAACCAGAATTATACATGCCGGTCAAACTAAGGTTCAGTCAAACCACGCGGAGCTTCTTCCTGTGAATCCCATCAGACCCCCCCCCCCCCCCAAACACACCCCAAACCATCAATTTCGAACTGTGACTTCTGTGGTCGAAAAAATACCCGGTAAACTAATGTGGAATCATCAAGTTCCATCATTTTGTGTTTGCAAACAGAATGCAACCGTGAACCGGCGTGGGTCGAATTTTCTGTGCACCTCTTCCAGTTGGCACATGTGCACTTACACGCATCCAGTCCCCCCCTTCCGTCCCGTCCCGCCCCTCCCGCGTCCACACACACGCACATCAGTGTAGCAAAACTTGTTTTCTTTTTTCAGGCTCATCTATCATATACCATAAATACTATTGTTTGTCGAATTTATTCCTTCCATTATTCCCAGATGAAACATCTGCTTTGCACACCCACCTACCGATCCTTTTATAATTTCCACTTATCCAATGCATACCAGGCAACGGAACAGATAATTTATCCGTGTGTTTGTTTGTAAGTCCTATCAGAGACAATACAGATTACGTATGGAACAAATCATAAACCCAGCATCGTCTTCCAGCACACAATTCGGACGTCCTGAAGTGAAGTCGATCGAGCAGCGTTGTAGCAGTT